CTCCCCTTCTCTTTCTCTCTCTCTCTCTCTCTTCGTCGACCTCTACAGCTTTCTCGAGTTCTGGATCAACAGGTCGAAAGGCGATTGACCAAAATAGGAGTAAAAGGTTGCCAATCCGGTCCGGCGTCCTGACATCCTTTCTTTTTCTTCTCGTGCGCAACATCTCGGCCGCGGAAGCAAAGAAAAGGAATTTCCCCGAGTCCGTACGGTAAAACTGATTCGGGAAATATCGCAAGAAATAATTCGAATTGGTGCGCAAGAGCGGAACGCGATTGACCGATTTTCTTTAATTTTGAGGATTTAGCAAAAAAAGACTGCAAACACGTATCCTCCTTTTATTTAATCGCGAGCGGAAAGGAAGCGCATCTCGTAAAAAGCGACACGCAAGTGCACAAGTGATCCGCGTATTGTGTTAACACGCTGCCGAAGCGATTTTCTCTCTATTGCCAGCGAACAATCATACTATTTCCTTTTTCTTTTTCTATATCTGTCACTCATAAATATTTACATCATAAACACTGAGCGCTTCCTCTTTTTTTTTTTCTCGAACGTAGATCTAGATTTAACGAGGTAAATCGTCTGTTTAAGTGGCAATTACGCTTGAGAATAACGCGAATGCATTTATTCAATAATCTTGAAGAAACTTTGATATACATAATTCTGAAAATACTTATAACAAGTGTAAAAGTGACGTTTCATGCAAACATGTAAACTTTCAATATATTATTGAATGCATCAATTTCATGACCACAAATGTAAATTTTTCTGATATATAACAGTTATATATGTTATAATACATCATACACTGCAGATGTATTGCCGATATATTCGCAACATTAAGAGAAGAAACACTGTATATGACTATGCAATAATTGATGGTTGTCTTTCTAAAAATTAATAAAGATTAATTGCGGCCGCTTATGGTACATGGAATGTGAAACGAGATTGTACCTCCACACGCAATAGCACGGCGTTAAATTGTGAGGAAAAAATTGGGTTGTTCCACAGCATAGATATAAAATTAGAATGTGGAAAGAATAGCACATATTCTTCGGTAGTAGAGTTTGCTTTTCCACGATTTGCCTTTCATCATATTATAATATAAAAGAACAGAGTGCTGTAATAAGTATTACAATATCAATAGAAAGTTATAAATGAAAATTAAAAATTACCGCGATATCTTTTATATATCACTTTTTCCTTCTCAGAAATAGAAGCAATCGTTGAGTCGCAATCATGTAAAGCTATCTCTTATCATAGATATCAAACTATAAGTTATGGATAGTAACCGATGGACCTCTGTACTTTTCACACATTTTATCTAATATTATTTCTGATTTTATCTCAATCTTATAAAATAATAAAATAAAGTTTCTTGTTGGATCCGCCTTAAAAACCCCTGGAAGCCGAAAAAATCGCCAACGGAAGTGTCAGATTTTTCTTTCTCTCTTTTTCTTTATTTCTCTCCAAGAAAATTTTGTAGCAGTCGTCCATATACGCGAGATCTCGGACATAATACTAGCGCCCATTCTGGCGTAATAGAGCGGCTACAGACACAGAGCATAGGGAGTCGAAGAGTTGTTCCCGCTCCAGCGGGCAAAGATCAACGATCGGGAGATGCGCAGGGGGGGGGGATGGTTTTTTTGCAGCCATCAATGTAACCGTGGCTACGTCTTAAGCCTGTGAATGACGTGAATAAAGCCCCTACGCCTACGCTGAGCGACGATGCCCCCGGCGAGCGTGCAGTTCCGGACGCGCGCGGTGCCTCTCGTCCGTCCGTCATTAAACTTGCATCTGTATCGGTCACGAGACTCGTCGATTGTGGCCGATGGATGTCCTCTGGCGTCGCGCGGTCGCTGGTGCATCGCTGCATAAGCACGATAATGGCCGATAATCAATTATATTCGCCATCGAACGATTTTCAATTTGTGCGAGGAAAGAAAATCTTGCCCTGATAGATATCGCTCTGAACGAATATAAAGTATAATAATAAGAAGAACCTATAATACAAAGAAAGTGCGCTTAATTAGGGATACTATATTAAATACCAACTTTGAGGAATATACAAGATGCACGAGAGAAAATGTTCGACGTAAGAATTTTGCCATTATCGGCTCGATAACCCACAGTTATAACGAGCCGATCGGGAATTAATTATAACACCTACGTTGTATGCACCCACGGACTTGGCTTTCTATTATACGGAACTCGATTTTACAAGCAAAAGCTAGAGAGGAGTGGAGGGAACACAATGCCGACGGAAACCGTTATTACATGGAGCTATCGCGAACCAATCTTGTGCATAACTCATCGCATTGTGCGCGAGTTGCAGCTGCGGTGCTCGCGTCAATCGAATGTCTACTTCGCGCAACAAGCTTCGTTCGCAAAGTGTTGCGATAAAAGAGCTATTTGACTCGAAAGAGGGAAAAAGGCATCGAAAAAGAAAAGAGAGAGAGAGAACCGAGGCGATATACACCATCGATAATCGGTCCACTAGCGTTGCGTGAGGTCACTGAAGAAGCCCCCCCGTCCTCTTCTGGCCAGGGCATTGTCAAGTCCGATCACGAAGCGACCTCGCATCTTTCCTGGCGATCGCGAGGGATGCTGTTCTCGCGAGCGCGCGCACGCTTTTATCTCCCCGTACAATCTCGACTCTGAGAATGCCCGCTATGCTACATTTTCCTCACGAACGATTTCTCTCGTTGAATTTGATTTCCAGATTTCAGATGGAATGTTAATTGTTGACCGTCCGTGATCTTGTCGGGATATAAATAGATATAACGCTCTTGGACGCTCCGAAACAAAACTTTCTCGCGTGAGCACGATCAATTTCAGATAACGTCGTTAAAGAATGATACGAAAACTTTCGAAACATGATACTTTCGACAAATTAATACTCTCACGTGAACGATAAAATAACACGTTGCATTACGCGTGTTCGTTTAAATGCGGACGCGCGCGTCGAGCGTTAAATCGCGCGGATTAAACCGCGATCGGGCGGAAGAATCGGATTAGTCGCGTCGATCGGAGACAAAGTATATACCGGACGATCTGCCTGGCGGCTTCGCACGAAACAAGATCTCATTTCCAGCTGGCTGCGCCAGAGCAGAAACACGGAGAGCGAGAAAGAGAGAGAGAGAGGGAGAGACGCTCATCGCCCGCAGCGAGCGCGCATTTTTTTTTCTCTCTCTCGCGCGTGAGAGGAGATGCTCCTCTCTCGGAGCATCTCGACGGGGAGCGCGGTAAACTTTCTAGAGATGACCGACGGTTGCCTATGGGGACCTCGATTCCGGTCCCTTCCGCGGATCGTTGATCTTGGCCGAGTTCCGCGGTGACCTCTTAATCACCGCGAACGCGTTAATTTATGGTGGGGTCTCGTTTTACTCGCATGCAATGTCGTCCGCGCTGACAAGAAAAGTCGGAGGAAAGGATTTATTCTCGCGGAGAACTCACTCGTGAAGATCTAAGAGACTTGATGAATTTCGAAGAATCGCGCCGATAATCAATCACGCAGCCCATGAGAAATCATAATCCGATAATTAAATCGTCAATTTTCTGTTATCATGCGTTAATTATCGCACGCATATATAAAGAATGTGTACTTATAGAGACCGCATGTAATTACAATGTTAATTACGCGTACCAAAGTGAATAGGACCGTCGAACTTATCCATCAATGTTCGCAGGCAACGTGTTCCGAGCCGACAATCCCGCGGTGCTGGCTCTATGAGATAACTCCGTCGTTGTTTCGTACACGCATGTAACGGATCACGCGGACTTTGTTACGGTATTTCCGGCGTACCTTTGTACGTCGCAACGAATTCCGTCGCGTGTCGGGAAATACATGATAGAGATCTGCACGCGTGTCACGTCAGACAACAAGCCGCCGACACATTCGCGGAATACGCGATATCTCGATGTTACTATAAATCCGTGAAATCGTAGAAACAGAGATAGGGTCGAGAAACTGTTGGAGAATCAAGAAATGCCACATGTATTTCGCTGAATGTTAAATGACATAGACATGTGTCAGGTTTAATAGTATACGGATGAGAAAATTTAACGGTACAAATTACGTGAAAAATACATTGACTTTTATAACATTGTTGTAAAGCTAGAATATAACGGTATTAAGAGATATTTTTACTGCTACAAAAATTGTAAATTATGTACTTATTCTATTGTTTGTTAACGATTGTGCATTTATTTGTGCAAAAATTTGAATAATTACAATACTCACTCCTTTGTAAAATATGATAGATATCTTATCAAATAAAAATATTGTGTGATTTCTCTTATATGTTAGCATTTTTCACGATTAAAAAAATTATATTGTAATTTTTACAATAACAATTTATTATATTTCCAATAATAATTTACTTCGTGTATGAATGAAAATTATTATAATTGAAAACAGATGTAAAATTAAATAGCAGCATTGAAACATCGAGTCAACGTACATATAAAACTTTAATAAATTAGAGTATGGTTTTTTAATAAATTAAAACACAAATACCGGAAAGGGATTTTAAGGAACTTTTTAATCTTGTGTTATACGAGCGTTCTCTAAAGCGAAGCTGTACGTGTCTCAGTTAGAGATCTCCCGTCATTACGCACGCAATTTCCCACGTGGTCGTGACGGCGGAGGCAGGGAATCTCAGGACATTCGCTGACTCGCGTGACGTGGCTGTCCATCAAACGTTAAACGAAGTTCGTTCACTTCCGCGCGCGGAGACGATTTTTCTTCAATGACACAACACAAATCCGTCCGCGGTTTTCTCCGCGAGACAGAAGAGAAAAAATTCGCGACCGCGTTATAGACAACAAACTAAAGTCCGTCGTTACCTTTCAAATAAATTTCTGATAAATTTAATTTCTTATGAATTTGTCATCGATATACATTGTTATATTCTTTACGCTGTTATTATGACGCCGTTTTAATTAATTTAATTACCGGGATATATGAATCATTATTAATGATGCTATATCTGTGTTTTCAGAAGGCGTTCAAACGGATTCCAATCCAAGCGGAATCATCCATTACTCGAATGTGCAGCGTACTGTTACGGGGAAGGTAATTAGCGCAATCATTACTTCATATACAAGCAAAAAATTACTTAATAACTTTGTACGTTCTTAATAATTCAGAACTTAGAGGGGAGAACCTTAGATGAAATTATCAGTAAATGATGATGACGTTTTTGTTTCACAATTATTACGTTATAATTAAGAAGCCTTTTATTATTCCCTTTAATGACTTTCGTTATTATTATCTAATTTATGAAAACCGGGCAATTTTTTTCTCTTAATTCCCGTCTTCGTAAAGCGGAAACGAGATACGTTTCGCTCATACATATGTACGCGCGTGTGTAGGCGCTAATTTTTACGACGCTTCGATCTGATAAATTAGCATGCAGCGTGCGTTTCGCGCCAGAGAAAAAAAAAAGAAAACACATCGATCGATGCACAACTGCTAGTGGCGAAAATATACGCGGAAGATATACGCGAGACCAGAGTGAGTGAGAGAGATAGAGAATGGATCGCTTATTACCGCGCTGCTGGGTATCAGCAATTCGCGACGCGGGCAGCTGCCTCCTGTATCTGCTTTGCCTACACTTGCGCTAAAGCACCTTTACCTTCGTTCGCCTTATGCCGCGGAATGACTTGCTAATAACACGAATCGTTATCTAACGAGAGGGAATCGGAAACGTCCCGCGCGAAACAATATATTCTTCCTTTCGCGGGGAACGCGAAGCCCCGATAATGACGGGTCGGCGCCGAAAATGAATGGTTAAAGTCGTCGGTAAATTATATCTCCGCAACGTTCCCCGCATTTCGATTTCTGTTCCTTGGATGTTCCTTTACATCATGCGTTTTTGAAAGATCACTTTGACATTTCGATATACCGCATCATCTATATAATTTTATTTATGAATAATTATATTTAAATATTGAGATATTAATTTTATGATAATTATACTCAAATATTAATATTAATATATTAATTATATTAAAATATTAATAATAATACGAAATAATATTTAAATATTAATTCAATCGCGAATATAGAGAAAACTAAAATGATTTATTTTTTAAATTAGATAATATAAGAATTGATGCGCTAAAATATTAACGATTCTTCTAGTACGAGGAGCAGGAGACGCTCGACATTGAGGCCCTCAACAATACGAGAAGGGCCGACCGGCAGGTCTTATTCTTCAATCGCGTGCCGAAAGTCGGCTCGCAGACCTTCATGGAGCTGCTGAGGAGGCTGTCGATAAGGAATGCTTTTTCATTCAATAGGGACCGCGTGCAGCGAGTCGAGACCATACGTCTTGCGCCGATCGAACAGGTAACGAACGACCCCCGGCCAGAAGGGGCCTCAATCAATTATCATCAATCGCGCAGCGACGTTCGCGTAGTAATTACCTATCTTAATTTATAATCCCGTCGAGCCCTACATGGTGATAAAAAAGTACGACGATACCCGGACCGATCAAGTGATTCACGCGCTAACGGTTCCGTCTCTTCTTCGTACTTCCTCGTGCTCGCCGCGGGTCTTTCGTTCATGATAAAATTACGAGGAGGGAGGAGAATTGAACGTGTCGTTTATTTTTCATATAGAAACTTGCCAAGAAACCTGTCAAAGAGTGATAAAGATAAGAGAGACGTAGCGATCTGCGGACAGATGTGTATCTTGTCATTACGATAGAAAATAGAATCCGCATGTACGATTTAGAGTGAAAGTTCAAGTTGACGTTTGCCTAGATCTTTGTGCAAAAAGATTTCTCTTTATTTACGAGAACTGTTAGCTTGTAATAAGGAAAATAACAATGAAAGATTTATTACTTTTTGCAATATAATTTGTACGTAATTTGTACGTGAATTAACTTGTCTTGTATACATTTTCAGCTTCATCTCGCCAGGATGGTCAGCAGCTATTCAGAGCCCTCTGTCTACGTAAAGCACGTCTGCTTTACTAACTTCACAGAGTGAGTGCCACGAGATTAGCCTAGGCAATTTGAATGATTGCTACCACTCACCATTTTCTACTCACTACTTTCCTTGTGTCTCTCCTCGTCGTCAGATTCCATCTGCCGGAGCCGATTTACATCAACGTGGTCCGCGATCCTGTGGAGAGAGTCATATCCTGGTATTATTATGTAAGAGCGCCGTGGTATTACGTGGAGAGGAAGCAGATCTTCCCAGATCTGCCGCTACCCGATCCCAATTGGCTCAAGAAGGACTTCGAGTCGTGCGTTCTTAAGGGAGATCGAGAGTGCAGATATCTAGAGGGCGAGGTCCACGAAGGTATCGGCGATCATCGCAGGCAAACGCTCTTCTTCTGCGGACACAGCGAGAAATGCACGTAAGAATATTGTTCGTAAAATATATATAATAAATATAAA